TTTAATGCTTTTTTTTCATATGTGTTTATAGTTTGTTTAATATTTTTCCTTTCTGTGTTTTTTTTTTTAAACCTGTTGATAAAGTCCAGCATGGATTATGAAATTCAAAAGCTGGCACGTTTGTTGTTAGAAGCTAAACTTTGATCAGAAATTTTCCCAGTCAAGAAAAGTTATGTTGACAAATGTTTGTAAAGTAAATACTTTTTTACATCATTGGACTACAGACATTTGAACATATTCTCTAGCAAAAGGTCTTGATATTGGCATGTCACAATATCAGAAATTTTTTTTTTTTTTTAAGCAAATGCTTGGGCTAGGAAAAAAATCCTCTTCCTTTACATCATCTACTAGCAGCATTCGTTCTCTCATACCTGTTTTATATAGGTATGTACAAAAATCTTTGGTTACTTTAAACCAATGATTCCTAACATGGGGCACATGGTAATATTTTGGTGGGTCATGCATAGGATGTGCATCCTTCAGCTTACTATACCAACAGAATAAGGGAGCAATTCGAGAATGAGTTATTAACAGTGAATTGTTTTCAAGTGAGTCTGCGTGAGAGTGTTAATATTAATGCATGTTAATACGTATGATACATATACAGTATGCATATATAAAAATATTTTGTGTGTATGTATGTACATGTGTAATTGGTGTACATGTAAGAAATAAATATTACAGTGAGGGAACCAGAATTTTAGAAATACCAAAGTGGGGTATGGCCCCAAATTGGTTAGGAAATACTGCTTTAAACTATAAGGTAACAAAAAAAAGTCCTTGTTGTTGTATGGGAAGAAATAATCTATTGTAGCATACCTACGGACAATATAAATATAAAATCACATAAATACAATAGTAAAGATTCATTGTGAAATTCACTTGATTCACTTTTAGCAGTTGACTACTTCTATGCACTCCTGGCAAATTTTATATGTGTTGTTCTTGTCCTAAGTATTATTGTTCATTACCAAGCTTTGTGCGATTATTCTACTCAGTAACCTTACCTAGGTTACATTGGATACACAAATGTGTACGTCATGTGGGTTGTGTGTGTGGGGGTATTGTTCTTGACCAATGCAAGTGCATTGTGCACAGACATCAGTTGTAGCTCGAGCTGTGGTGAGGAAACATGGTGCTGCTGAAGCAGTGGGTTGTCTACTTCATGACTTTAAGGTTGGCTTGTCTACAGCTGCATCAAGTTGCTGAATATGTCAAGCTTTCAAGGATAATGCTGTGTGAAAATACACTGCCAGGCAGTGACTTCAGAAGTTCAAATTGTGAGATCTGTTCCTTTGTTATGAACTCTGCAGTCGCAGGATGATGTGGACAACCATAGAGGACAACAGCCAAACCTGTGATGAGCTTGCCAAATGCTTCTAGGCTTATGATGAAAAGTGGGTTGCATACAACAATGTTCAGTATAAAATGACAGTGGATTGACAAGTATAAATCTCCACAATCAGCATCAAAACTGGAGCTATATGGAAGAAAGAAAATAGAGGATGGGAGTGTTAGAGGTGGTCTTAATAAACTTCTGGGGGTTGGGAAATTTGGCAGACTTCACCTGCACTGCATACGGAAGGTGTACAAGTTGAGCAAGTGGGTACCCGACACACAACAACAAGTGACAGCCTGTTTTTTGTTGCTTTCTTGGCACCACAATGTATCCATATTTGATTGAGTACTCACTAGCGAGGAAAAGTGGGTGCTGTATGACACTCCCAAATGTGCCAGACATTGGTTGTCACAATGGGACCCTATGCCTCACATCACAAGACCACCTCTACACCCACACAAGATCATGCCCAGTCTCAGATGGACTGGTCATCAAGTGGGGCACTATGAGCCAGTGGGCAAAACCCTCAATGTGGACCTGTACTTGCAGCAGTTGAAAAATGTGCAGCAGGAGCTGAAACTGGAGAAGCCAGCATTGGTTAATCGCAAGAGTGTACCCTTCTTCCATGACAATGCCAGGCTTCATGTGGTGTGAATAGCCAGGGATACTATACAGCAAGTTGACTTGGAGACGCTGTGCCATCTACCTTACTTCTACCTTGTACTAACAGATTACCACCTCTTTCATTCCCAGCTTCATGGGAAATCCTTTGCAAATGAGGCAAACTTGTGGCAGACACTCACAAACGTGATTTTAACCCCCAGGGCATTGCACAACTGGAGGTACATTGGCAAAAGTTTCTGGATGCCAATGGAGATTACTTTAAGGACTAAAAGTATGTCAAATTTGCTGTATGCCTGTTTCTTTTTCTAATAAATGAAAAATGGTAAGAACTTTTTTGATTACCTTGTATTACAAACAGTGGCAGGCAGACCAGCTTGCCTGATAGCAAGTGTGCCGCCTATATCAAATAAAAATGCAATAAAAAAACAGACAACCGTTTTAGTAATAAAAACGAATAAGAAAAAATAGAACAGGTCATAAATAAACAGTGCATGAAAAGGATGAAGTAGGGAAAATAGTCGAAAGGTGTGGAATAAAAAAATCAATTATAACCTTCTGTATTTATATTTAGTATCTACCGTCAATAATATGTACAGTACTAATCATAGTAATATGTACATTGTAATTAGTAAGGAATACAGTTTTTTTTCACAAAACTTTTAATTGTACCCTTTTTTTCCCCATATTTATTTTCAAAAGATTTTATCTATTTGTTATGAAAACTAAACAGCATTTTAGTTGTGGATGAGCCCCCTTTGTCCTCTGACAATCAATATTTTTATCCCCAGTCTGCTACGAATTACAAATAATTCTCAGCTTATCAAGGATTGCTTCAAATTGTGTTTTCTACAGATGAAGCAATGACCCTATTGGGGACATTTCATGCCTAATCTTTGTTGCCCAATAAAAGTTGATAGAGGTGATGATGGTTGAGGTGTTTATCGGGGAAATTTCCCAACCCCCAGAAGTTTATTAAGACCACCTCTAACAATCCCATCCTCTATTTTCTTTCTTCCATGGAGCTCCGGTTTTGATGTTGGTTGTGGAGATTTATACTTGTCAATCCACTGTCTTTTTATACTGAACATTGTTGTATGCAACCCACTTTTCATCACCTGTTCTGATATATTTAGGAAATATTTAGGAAGGTACATTTGACATTACTACTGGTTCCAAAAATGGAAAATTACTTATGATTCAACCTAACATTTTCATGTATCAGAGTTGGGTGCTGAAAAGTTCTCAATATAGCTATTTTCCAAAAAACCAATTTTTGGAAAGTAGTTTTGAGCAAAAATATATATATATATATATATATATATATATATATATATATATATATATATATATATATATACAGTTATGATGAGAATAAATGTAATACCCTTCCAATACTTGTTTAATTTAAAAGAGGGCTTAATACATAGTAGAGCAATATTATTTATTTTAGGATATTACAACAAAAACATGTAAGAATCAGTACACAAATGCAGTTGTGTTTCAACATATAATAATGTGTCTCCTCAGATGATTGTAAATTGATGGCAAGTGAATGCTTAATTTTCCATTTTTGTGATTAACTTGCTTTCAAAAGCAAAATACATCCTCATTTTTAAAAAAAAATATAAGGCTTGACGGCTTTACTGTGATCAACCAATCAAATATGACCTACATTAAATTCAAACTAAGCGAAAAAGAAACAGCTACAAATTATAGAAATGTGTCATGGCCAAGATTTGACATCTGACAGCAGCCAGACATTAACTTAAAGACTGATATAAATGGTTACAGTAAATGTACACATACCAGACAGTCAGCCTCCATTAAATTAAAGTGGGAGGTGGGTAGAGAGGTAATTTAACTGAATGCTCAACTAGTTATAAGCTTTGGGGATTTGCAACATGAAAATATTATTAATGATACTAATCAATGTAATTATAGGAACTCAGACCAGTGCCCATTGCTAAACAAATGTTTAACTAAATCTCTTGTTTACCTATCTCTACCATAGTTCACTCACCAATAATTTACCTGAGGAGACACATCGTTATGTGTTGAGACACAATTGCAATTATGTAGCAATTCATACATGTTTTTGTAATATTCTAAAATATTTTGTATTACGAGGTCTGAAGAGTTGAATTCCGACCTTCGTGAAAGAAATATCACCTCATGACATTTTAAGTGTTCGTGTTTTTATAATAATGATTATTGCTCTGTTTTTGATATAGAGCTCTCCCTGGATCTATATCCTTTGGGAAATATCCATACTGTTTACTAATGATATCATTTTATATATATATATATATATATATATATATATATATATATATATATATATATATATATCAATATGATGGGGTATTTATTAACATGGTTAGTTTTGCAGAAGGTTAAAATGCAGTGAAATGAGATAAAGGAATATTTTATAAAAAAAATTGGCCTTAAAAATTTCAGATTATGTGTTTTACCAACCACCATTATAGTCAGTTCCTCCAAATTGGATATTACTTATGGCTCAGCCTAATAAATGCTTTTTTCATCATCATGACTTATTAATTTGACACGGTATAAGCCAATATTTTTGAAACCAAGTACTCACTTGCACAACTCCCATAGACTCCCTGAGGTACCCAGTTCTTGACATACTAGACACTGCTGCTGTGGTTTCAATAGGATGAATTCACTAGCTCCCTGTTTTGAATTGAGTTTTCCTTTGCTTAAACTCGCAGCTAGCCACATTAAACCCATAGCTGGGGGGGGGATAATGGAAGGATTCCTATCTTTCTGAAAGGTAACTGTGTGTAAGTGAATGCAATCAACTTGACTAGAATTTTAACTCTGCTCTCTGATTTCTCACTATAACCCAAGCTGCTATCATTACATTGCCCACACTTCCATTTTGAAACTGAAACAATTTCTAATCTTTCACTTATATTTAATGACATTTTTAATGACTTTTTAATGACATTTTAATGACTTTTTAATGGCTTTTTTTAATGTCCTTTTTAAATGACTTTTTTGTTAATTTTTAAAGGTTGAACATGATGCGGAAAATCGAAGCAAGAATTTTGAATCTCTTTTCCATTCCTGCTTATGTTTGCCATCACTTGGTGATGAACAGATTCAGGTTTTACAGTCTTTTGAATTATTATCTAAATTCCCCAAGTGCCTGTCGACCCTTTTGTCCAGCTGTGGTCAGCCTGCAAGGAATGGGTTACAAAATGATGACTATAAGGTATGTTGGTGAGAATTTTTTTGTTTGTAAGTATAGTGTGTGATGGATAAATTATCATTTAAATTACACAAAAATAAAAATAACACTGATTTTTAACAAATATATTTACCAAAATTCCACAATATCTTGAAATGCTAAAGAGTAAATTTATTGAATAAAATCACCATTGGCTTCAACCACGGCCTCGGATCTCCTGCATCTCTTCTGGATGGTCTTCATGTTTATGTTGGTGAATGCTGTCATAATCTTTGCCTTCAGTTAATCTTTGGTGTTACAAGGGGTTTTGTTGGTCTCTTGCTCAACTGCACCCCACACATAATAATCAAGGGGGTTGAAATCTGGGGAGTTAGGTGACTGGGTTCCCCTGCATGTGTGCCATGGTGCAGAGTCTTGTTGCCAGAAATAGGGTCCTCCAGCAGCCACCTTTTTGACCCCGGGCAGCACTACCTCCTCAAGGCACTTGGTGTAGGCCTCTGTGTTTAGTCTGAGACCCTCTGGAAAGATGAAAGAAAGTATAATGTTGCCATCATGAGTGATCACTCCAAACACCATTTTGCAATCACCATTAAACTCATCCAACTCTTTCTGAATTCTCTGCACTGTCCTCAGATTAATATCCAGACACTCTAAAATGTTTGTATTGGAACTTCCCGTGTGAATGCCATACAGTACGGCATGCCATTTCTGGTGGAGTGAAATGTGTCATTGTGTTCTTTTTCTCACAGACATTGCTCATCATACTGTGCACTTGACAAAAAAAAAAAAAAACAAAGAACACATATGTATGAAATTAAAAAATTAAAATGGTGACGATTTACCCATCATTTGTGTGTGTGTGTATATATATATATATATATATATTAAGACATTTTTATGTTTATACATTCTTTTTATAGATACAAATATTTAAGTAAATGTTCTGTTTATAATAAACAGTATTAACAACATTTACCAGCCTGAATGTCTGAGAAATTTTCATAGAAATTATTCGTCCTCTGACAGGAATTGAACCTGTATCCTACATGGAACCATCATATAGCCTGACATGTTTTACCGATTTAGCCACAGAGGAGCGTTTTGGCTAGCAAGGTCGATTTTACTGTAAATCGAGGAAGCATATTTTAAAATATTTTAAAATAACTGTCAGACTTTGTCCATTTCATATATATATATATATATATATATATATATATATATATATATATAATGTACTTTACAAATCAGGAGGTCAGTTGAATCCACTACCTTGGTTTCAACCTTATGGTATCCTCAGGTCATTTGATAAAAAATCACTTGAAGATAAGTTTGAAACCAAGGTAGCAGATTCAACTGACCTCCTGATTTTTAAAGTTAAAAGATCTACATGTCATTTTTACTTTTATTTTTCCACACATGTATTGAACACTTTTTAATACTACTGTTTCCTTGTCTGATTCAACTCTGACCATTAACCTTTTATGTCTTTTATATATAATATAAAATGGCGACAATTTACCCATCGCACTCTGTGTGCCTGTATATATATATATATATATATATATATATATATCTGTGTATGTCATTGCCAAATGAACTCTTTCTGATTCCCTTGATGCATTTTATAATTAATTTTTTTTTCTTTCGTGTTTGGGTGTAAAGAATATTTTCTTTTGGATTTTTTCCTATTCGCAGGGTGAGATGAGAGTTGAATGCCGAGAAATCCCCAAAGCTCTTCTCTGGGTTGGTGGGGACAAGAGCAAGACAAGTAACAACTTTCCAAGCCCAAACTGGTCAATTATGCGCTGGGATCCACCCAAGAAAGGCTACATTAAAATCGATGACATGTATCCTGTAAAAACTCCTGTTGAAGCAGATATGGGTTACCGAGTTTGTACATTGGGTGAGTAAAAAGAATATATTTCATTTGACTTTCATTCAACAAGCATTGTCATAAATTTCTTTGTCTTGTGTTTTTCATCTTATTTTCTTGCTTGTTTACACCTAGTAGTAGTAGTATTAGATATAATAGTCTTAAGTTGTCTGACTTTCTTTGATAAAGTATTGTTATCATTGTTTTGTTTACTAATAGTAGTATTAGTTATAATAGTGCTATGTTGTCCACATTTCTTAAAGTGGTGTCTATTCTAATAGTTTTTTCTTCTATTTTTTTGTCTTATTTTTATGCTTTTTATTGCAATATTCATATTGTCTTTCATTTTCTGTATTTGATAGCCTAAAAGATGTACTGCCACACAACATTATGAAATCACTTTAACCATAGCAAAAAACCTCTCTCTATATATATATAGAGAACAAGAAA